TAGGGTAGAAATTTGAATGATTTATCGTCAACACAAGGCCATACGATTCAAAAAGTTATCATGAATCTCCAAGTAAAACCTAAAAGTTATTGGTTTTCATCTAATAAATACGTTCTGAGACTTTTAGCATGTATTAGCTGAATTACCACGGTTATCCAAAATAGAAATTGTGCCATAATTGATCTTTCATGGTTGCTAGGGTTTCATCATTCTTAACTTTTATCCCCAGGTTATATACGTCCTATTAGTATGAATTGCCTCAGCATCTCGGTGTCACAGAACTTCAATCATATATTTATTTTGACAGCAGGGTCTAACTTTATATATTTTGGCAACATTGTCTACATTGGCAGATTCTTGATAATGAATGAATACATTATGCTCATTTACCAAAGTTATTTGTTCCATTGTCTTCACTTATGTTGACATGTTTTTTTTTTTTAATTACGCACATTATATCTATCTCAATATTAGTTCCTTTTTGTATCCATCAACATGATCAGGTATTTATCTTCGTGGGTTTGGGTTAATCTGTGTATCTTAAGTTTACTACCAATTACATTGTATAGGATTTTAAATCCTTCTAAGGAACTAGCCAGAGTTAGCGATGCTGTTTAGTTCTTGTGGTCTTTTATAGAAATAGTTGTATTATCAGATTCGATTTTTAATAATCTAACAAAGGGAATTCATCCAATTTTTCTTCTATCCTAGGTTCTTAGAATGTTTTATGCCATTGTTAACATCTTTTACTTTCTTCGATTTTATCTTTAAACTTTTCGAGTTTCTCTTTCCAAGAATTATACATAGCGTCCAAAGATTCTTTGTTATCAGTAAGTATTCGTACTTTAACTTTACTTTCCTTTAGCATACTCCTCACTTTACTAACAAACCTTTTTGCTTCTTCTACAATCACGGTACCCTCTCTTTCTCTGGCCATTTTACCCTCTTCATTATAATCCTTATTAACGTTGGTAGTTTTATACTTATTTTTATTTAGATAATGTTCACCTATTTCAGGACCTATCTCATTTTTATAACAATGCCTAACTTTAAATGTTCTATTAGAATTTTCAAACTTAGCAGATTGTTGATAATGAATGAGTGTCTTATGCTTTCTCCTTTTAACAGCATTATTCATTCCATCAGTATCACCTATTTCAGCCAATTTCATATACGATTCAAAGACTTGTCGTCTATTTTTAGTAGATCTTTGGTGCCAAACATATTTTTTATGCTTATTTGTTTCAATCCCTATTCCATTTTGATGGTGCTTTTTAACACTACAACACTTGAGAAGGCTCTTTACTTTTTCTGGTTCTTGAAGATATTTAAATATATCATGTTCATTCTTTTCAATCTCAATTCCCTTTTTATTTCCATTTTGATAACATTGCCCAACATATATTCCGTTAGTACTATCACGATGCTGCTCTAACTTGACAGACTTAGGTGTTGGCATTAGCTTGATATATAGAGGTAAGTGAATTATTGGTGGTACTTCAGCTGTTTTTTTTTTATAATTTGTGAAATCTTCTAAGATTTCTAACGTTAGTTCTAGAGCCTGCGGAAGCCGTGCATCATCGATATAATCATTTCCGAAGGCTTTATTTATGAGTTTTTGAACTTTGATATGTTGC